TTAATGTTCAAACTACAAAATCTGACACCCTCATCGCATAAAACTCAAAATATCTTTTACTTACTTTCACAAGAACCCAGATGAATTCGACCATTTCTGTTGTTGGTCAACTCAAATTCCACCTACAAGAAATCCAAAAAAAAATCAAGCAACTTAAGTAACAATCATTTTCATGTAGTTGGAACTTTAGCACAGATACGATGAAGAGTCAAAATATCATTTATTAAGAAATAGACATATGGTCAAGTGGAATTTGAGTTACTTGTTTTCTTACCTTTCCTTGATCTGATAGTTGTTCCACTACAAATACGAATCGTCAATTAAAATCAAAACAACCTGCTTTCTGTGTGTTTTCGAGAATACCCTTCAATCTGGTTTCTTGCAGGAACGAATCCAGTTTACCCTGCTCCATCTGTTTCATTGTTATCTTTGTAGACTTTCAATACAGGCTCAAAATCAAGATATTTAAACCACACATCCAATTCAAATTTGAAGGAGATTTCCTTCCTGATTTGTTGATGATTCTTCCTCGTTTTATGGGATGCACTATTCAACAAAAAATGAAAGTCAATTGATAGCAGTGAATAGGTCGGATTTAAAGTTTATGGAGTTTATAATAGCAAGGGCAGTTTTGGAATTTCACTTTGAACGAGAGGAGCTCAGGAAATGTCACGTGGAAAAAGAGGTACTATTTTATTAGAATAGGAGAGGAGATGTCTTGAATTTGGAAAATAGTTGTGCTCCACTTTTGGGTGGGTATGGCTTTCTTTGTAGTTGTAACATTCTTTTTATTATTATTCTATTATTTATAGTATCTATAATTTATAAATTTAGATTAATACTGCAAGAATACCGTTTCTATAAATAAGGCGACATAATTTTAGAGAAACGCAACAAGCTTTGAAAGCCTTAAAAGGTTTAATTTTTTTTTTAAGAATTGGGTTTGTTTGACTTTCAAACATGAACTAATTTTGTTAAATATATTTTTTTTAAGAATTGGGTTTGTTTGACTTTCAAACATGAACTAATTTTGTTAAATATTTTTTTTCAAGAATTAGGTTTGTTTGACTTCCAATGGCCATGTGGATTGGTCAGTAGACAAGCCAATTTTGTAAATCCTCTTATGAAGTTATGTGTAGGTTTGTTTGACTTCCAAGGGCCATGTGGACTGTTCAGTAACACATAAAGATGATTTGGTCAAAAAACAAGTCAATTTTGTAAATCCTCTTATAAAGTTCTGTGTAATATTATTAGTTCCACATTTTACTTTTGTACCCTTTGATATTCAATTTATGAAGTTTGAACCTCTTGTATGGACTTAAGCTACGAAGAATACAAAATCTTCACCATAAAATATAAACGTTGAGATTGTATGGTGAAATTCAATTTAAATATAAAGTTATAAATTATTTTATTTCTATTGAGTGATGTAAATTCCAGTAAACAAAAATAAGAAAATTTATAAAAATTATACTTAAAATTTCATACTAAACTTATAAAATTAAACAACAATGGAATTGTATGATGCTTTTTATGTAAATACAAATTAAATAACAGTACGTTGCTATTGCTTGCATCTCACTTGGAAAACTTGAGAAAACAAACAATCAAATATAGTAGTGTACTTTTAGACATAATCCTTTTATAGCATGGTACTTTCAGAAACAATTCTTTTATAGCAATGTGCTTTCAAAATCAATCCTTTTATAACATTGTACTTATTAAGATCCTACTTGAAAATATTGTTTTAGAGTTCCTTGATGTTTATTGAGCATTATACATTGAAGATGGATTCAAACGAATGTTTAATTAGATTTTTGAAAATACAAGACCAAAAGGTAACGGCTTTTGGGATAATTGTTGTATTTCTAATAGAGGTTAGATGAAAAAAATGTAGTTTGCAACCATGGAATTACTTTATTTTTTATGTTTATTTCACCCTATTTAATATTTATTTTAATCAATCATGGTTTCCACGGGTTTAAAACTAGTAAAACCAAATAAATTGGGGTATATTTTAGACGCATAATATTTTAGTATATACTGACCTATAATGGACACTATATATCAGTTTGGACTTTAACGTAAAAATTAAACCAAACGAATACGGGCTATATAAATATTATGCATAAAATTAAATTTTAGTATATACAGGCCAAAATTAAACTCATGATAAGTTTAATATCGAATGAATATTGATGGTTTTTACTTTTTACATTAACTGTTCTGTTTCATTTGATATATATGGACCTAGATGGACCTATAATAACTTATAATCCTAATGTCATATTGGTATTATGGTATATATGCTTATATTAGCCTTCGATTTATTTTAGTATGTAAAGGCATAAATTATCCTATTATATCTCATGCTATTGTACATAGTACATAGTATATATTTCCCTGTATTAGAGCACCTTATTACATAGTACATAGTATATATTTCCCTGTATTAGAGCACCTTATTTTTCGATTTAACATATGTATTGGCCTTCTTAAGCTCATTATTTTTCATTTTAGTCCCGTTTAGGAATTCCATGAACCAGGCTCTTTTCTTTTAAGTCAGTGGTAGAGTAATGACATGGTAAGGCGTAAGCCCTCGGTTCAAATCCGATAAGGGGTTTTGTATTTTTTTCAGTCATAGTATTCATATTTGAAAGAAGAATAGCGATATTATTAATAGTAATAAAAAAGTAACCAACTGTATAATATTATCGTCTAATGAGTTATAGTATATTAGTTGTTAGAGTATATTAGTTATAGTTATCACCGTATTGGGCCCATGTTAGGCCATTGTATATTTTAGCATATATGTGCTTATAACTAGGCTTGCACAAAAAAACCGGTTTACGATCCGAACCGGTGGCCGAACCGAAAACCGGTTCACCCTTGAACCGGTCCACTGTTGAACAGATCCGATGTCGAATCGAACCGCCGGTTTGTAGTAATTAGGACTTCTAGTCATTCGAACCGGTTTTGAACCGGTTTATGCTGAACCGATCTAGAAAACCGGTTTTGAACTGATTTTGAACCGGTCTAGAGAATCGGTCTTGAACCGGTCTTACAAACTAACGATGCATATATTAGCCATGATATCCTAAGAAACAAAACAATCATTGTAAAAAAGAAGCAATTCCGTCCGATTTTTTTTGAAATGGTTCACCGAACCGGTTTATGGTGAACCGATTTGAGGTGAACCGGTTTGTACTGAACCGAACCGGTTTGTATAGGTTCGAATTATTTTGGTGGTGAACCGGTTTAGGGGTGAACCGGTTTTTGACTTCGTTGACCAGAACCGAACCGGTTTTTTGAACCGGTCCGGTTAAAAAAAAACGGTTTGTGCATGCCTACTTATAACTATAGTATATTAGCCAATTGCTTAATCCAATTAACCCAAAATAATTGGGCCTTTTTAGGTCCAGGCATACTCAGGGCTTAGCCCGTTGGCCCCGTTCACATGAAATTCCACATATGTGCCTATAATATGAACTGGTTTGTTCTAGCGCTCTAGCGTAAGTAAGCATTATGCGCTGTTTTTGAACGATTTTTCTCTAGGTTTGATATTTATAGAGTTCTATTAAGTAAAATGAACGTAAACTGATTGAATCGATGCCAATTTAAGCCGATTATTATATATTATCGTAAATAATTCAGACCAAATAATCTAAAAAGTATACGTTCAATTAATTAATCTAGGAAGATACAATAGCATTACATTTGCATTTGATGATAGATCGGACTTGTTTAATACATTCATATGAAAATCACAAACTATAGAAGGCTCATGGCTTCAATTACCTATACGAATCTCACAACTTGATATTCTTAAGCTCATTATTTTTCATTTTAGTCCCGTTTAGGAATTCCATGAACCAGACTCTTTTCTTTTAAGTCAGTGGTAGAGTAATGACATGGTAAGGCGTAAGCCCTCGGTTCAAATCCGATAAGGGGTTTTGTATTTTTTTCAGTCATAGTATTCATATTTGAAAGAAGAATAGCGATATTATTAATAGTAATAAAAAAGTAACCAACTGTATAATATTATCGTCTAATGAGTTATAGTATATTAGTTGTTAGAGTATATTAGTTATAGTTATCACCGTATTGGGCCCATGTTAGGCCATTGTATATTTTAGCATATATGTGCTTATAACTAGGCTTGCACAAAAAAACCGGTTTACGATCCGAACCGGTGGCCGAACCGAAAACCGGTTCACCCTTGAACCGGTCCACTGTTGAACCGATCCGATGTCGAATCGAACCGCCGGTTTGTAGTAATTAGGACTTCTAGTCATTCGAACCGGTTTTGAACCGGTTTATGCTGAACCGATCTAGAAAACCGGTTTTGAACTGATTTTGAACCGGTCTAGAGAATCGGTCTTGAACCGGTCTTACAAACTAACGATGCATATATTAGCCATGATATCCTAAGAAACAAAACAATCATTGTAAAAAAGAAGCAATTCCGTCCGATTTTTTTTGAAATGGTTCACCGAACCGGTTTATGGTGAACCGATTTGAGGTGAACCGGTTTGTACTGAACCGAACCGGTTTGTATAGGTTCGAATTATTTTGGTGGTGAACCGGTTTAGGGGTGAACCGGTTTTTGACTTCGTTGACCAGAACCGAACCGGTTTTTTGAACCGGTCCGGTTAAAAAAAACGGTTTGTGCATGCCTACTTATAACTATAGTATATTAGCCAATTGCTTAATCCAATTAACCCAAAATAATTGGGCCTTTTTAGGTCCAGGCATACTCAGGGCTTAGCCCGTTGGCCCCGTTCACATGAAATTCCACATATGTGCCTATAATATGAACTGGTTTGTTCTAGCGCTCTAGCGTAAGTAAGCATTATGCGCTGTTTTTGAACGATTTTTCTCTAGGTTTGATATTTATAGAGTTCTATTAAGTAAAATGAACGTAAACTGATTGAATCGATGCCAATTTAAGCCGATTATTATATATTATCGTAAATAATTCAGACCAAATAATCTAAAAAGTATACGTTCAATTAATTAATCTAGGAAGATACAATAGCATTACATTTGCATTTGATGATAGATCGGACTTGTTTAATACATTCATATGAAAATCACAAACTATAGAAGGCTCATGGCTTCAATTACCTATACGAATCTCACAACTTGATATTCGATTTGTTCTTATTCTTTCTCAAGTGTTTGCTTATCTCCTGAACCGTTCTTTCTGATCGACACCAAGGACTGCTTTGCCCAGCGCTTCAAATTCATAGGTTTTTTCTCTCTGTCTCTGATATGTCTCGTCTTAGTGATTGCAATGGCGAGATCATTAGGAAATAAAGTCTGCCAAAAAAACGCGTGAAGTAAGGTAGATACAAATAGGACCAACACCATGGTTGATGAGAGAAACGACAGTGTCAATGCAATTCCCTTGCTTTCGACACTCGGATTATATTCTGCGTATTTGATTGCTGCGATTGAAATGGTAGTCATTGGGAACGTGTAAGACCACCAAGCTACTGAAAACCTGCAATATAATGAATCGAATCATCAATTTCAGAAGCAAAACCTTAATCGGGGATTTACTTTTTTACACTATTACCTGAATCCCCAAAAGAAATTGAGTCGTACAACAAGAGAGATATAAAGAAACAGTGCAATGAAGTAGCAAGTCCTTGCAGACCCATCGAATTCACCATACAGAGCCTCCCAAGCAATACTAGCAGCAGATGGAGCTGCAATAAACATGGAGTAAACAGGATGCAACTCCTTAGGCAAAGCTACACTTGTAGGCAATCTCTGATACAATGTCACAAAAAGGACAAGATAATGAGCAAACCCAACTGCCCAAAGAAACTTCCCTGGTTCTTTCCACCCAACTTTCGCAGCCAAAACTGCTCCAACAAAGTTCCCAACAACCGATAAATGAGAAGAAGGGTTAGCCACTTTACAAAGCCTTCTCTTCCCTCCAGAAAGCCATTGCCCATAGATTTTAAGCTCGAGAAGGAAATAAGGTATCATGAACACACACCATAACGCTGGGTGAAGCTTCTTTTGAGATATCATAGGTGGAGCCCCTATCGCCAAGAACATGCACACCACCCATGGTGCAAAAAAGAAGTTGATACGAACAGGGTGGAAGTATTCTCTTCTAATCGCTTCAAAGTAGAATATGCATTTCAGAAGGTAAGTAGTAGTCACACATACAAGGACCAATAGTGCCAAGATCCAAAGAACAAGGTTAATATATGGTGGAATATGTAAAAACTCGGTGGCTGGGCTGATTGAAAGGTTGTGCCATAGTATCGCTTGGCTGCTTAACCCTAGACACATACCAAAACAACCAATTGGGAATCGAAGTAGAAATGGCCATTGTTTGTCTTTCGGTAGAAGAATGTCTTCGGTATCCTGCAAAGAGTGAATGGCAAATAGGTAATTAAAGGGTTGGTGTCTTAATACATTAAGACAGAAATAATTAATATATACCTTGACTTGATCAAGTTCGGGTCCTGTAAGAGCAGCAAAGTATCTACCAGCAGGAACACTTTTATTAAGAGATTCATCAAGAAGTCCAACACCTTCATCACCATTCTTCTGAAACTGATCAACCCCACTTTCTTTTCTCAATGGCAACATAAAAGAGTTCTGTTTTCCTAAAGTGGATTTTGTTCTGAACATATTAAAATCTCCTTTCTTGTAATTTGAGTCAACTCCATGACTATGAGACGAACCAAACCCTCCAAAACTTCTTCCACTTCTTGGAAGCGTTTTTTGTTCATTCTGTGCTTTGTTAAGCTTGGAGACGCCTGTTTCTAGTGACACTTGCCTGCTGAAACCCCTGTGAATATTATTACTTCTTTTGCCATCTCGAAGCCTGGTCAACTGTGGCCGGTTTGACCGTGGTTTTTCTGCCATTTTAGTACCTTGTTTCACTTCTTCTTCTTCTTCCTCTTCATCTTCTTCATGAAATACTTCATGGATATCGACAAAATGGATATTTGTTGGGTTTTGGGAACTCCGTTCCTTACCCATTTCCTAAAACTCTGAATAAACTATGTTTAGTTGCAATGCAAGCTTTTAGGCTAGGCTATTTAGTTGTTTTTATAGTTTATAGAATGCATAAAATTTAAAAAGCAAGTCTCATCATATATTTGTAACGTAGAAATGTGGAAGTGCAAGGATAATTTTGTTGTAGTTTCACATGCAATATATGTATTGATCAACGCTGTTAGGGGGTCACAGGAAGCGGTTAAATTTGTGGTGAGTGTTTGTATTGAATTTAATGGAAAGGAGTCAAAGAGGGGCTTTTTGAAGGGGTATCTCGTGACACAAGAGGACTACTGTATTATACAATTTCTATTTTCTTCCAGGAACATATATGTAAAAACAACGTGGATTAATTTAAGCCTTTAGCATATATTATAATATTGGAATAAAAAAGAACCAATTAACTAGTACCTCTTACCAAAGTGCTTCAGGCCCAACGGTATCCGGTCTTGCCCTTCATCCTTGAGGTTGAGGGTTCAAGTCCAGTCGTGGACATAGGTGGATTTAAGGTGTTGTTTAGTAGTATGTTAGATTTGCCGTTTCAAAAAAAAAAAAAACTAGTACCTCTTATTGCTAGAGCTGACAAAAATCGACGCAACTCGAACCCAACCCAAAATTAGCGTGTTGGGTTGAGATTTTCAACCCATTTAACTTAAATGGGTCAACCCGTCTAACCCATTTAATTAAATAGGTTGTGTTGGGTAAAAATTATCAACTCGTCAACCTATTTAACTTTAATATATATTTAATTTAATAATTATTTGAATATTATCATGTATTAATCAAATTATTAATTTGTAAATTATAATGTTGCATTATTATTATCTATGTTTAATAAAATTAAATCCTAATTTACATCTTTTTTTTAGCGGCGATAATACTGGTCACTCTCCAAAAGCACTGTGAAACCAAACATTTTTAATGTTATTTGAGCAATTTATTTGTATATATGAATTAGGATTGTGCTTTGGTCATAATTATGAAGTTTTATTTACGTTTTATAATTTAAGTGGTATAATATTTAATTATATAATTTATTTAATTGATTTTAAATGGGTTAACCCAAGTATAACCTATTTATTTATTAGGTTGGGTCGGCAACTACATAAATAGGTCAACTCGGTGACAACCCATTTATCTAAAAGGGTGAGTTGGGTTACAAATATCAACCCATTTAAATAAACAGGTTGGGTTGGGTTGAAATTTTCAACCCAATTATTAAATGGGTTGAACCCGAACCCAACCCGGGTCGACTCATTGCCACCTCTACTTATTGCTGACCAACGACCCAATTAACTAGTACCTCTTTTGAAGGTGAGAAGATTTATCGTCTTCATGATCCATGCCTTCCTCCACCCCATGTGTAGTCACTAAATTTTGTTTTTTTAACGGGTGTCTACGCCCTAATTATTATAATTTTCTCATTTTTTTAAAATGCATATTTTCTAATCATTGTACTTTGAAAGTACAATGCCATAAGAATATATATATATATATATATATATATATATATATATATATATGCCTAAAAGTAAGCTACTATAACATTAAAAAATTTCAATGTTCTATATGAAGTGGCTCTAAAAAGAATTGAAAGTACATGTTGTAACAGAACATAATATAAGTTTATGTTTTTTTCCAGATTTTGAAAGGTAAAATAAAAATTTTGATCGGACCAAATTTATAATTTATCTTTTCTCACTTTAATCTATACTCTAATTGACAAAGCATTTTCTTAGATTTTGCGTCAATTGTAGGTATCATTCCATCATTTTATCACATATTATATGTTGGCTTATACTTATTGGTATTGTCTCTTTTATGCAGGATTAGTGATGCAAAAAACTCAAACTTACATTCCATTCTCAGGGAACAAATTCGTTTTTTTTTTGTTTTTTTTTGTTTTTGTATTTCTTTCCCTTTCGTTGATTTGAATGCAAAAATAACCGAGAATATTTGATACAGAAACTTGAACTCCTATTATTTCCCATACAATACATATACGCATACACATCCATGAATCTGTCAGATCTCTTACAAGATCTTAGTAGGGTATGTTCTTTACATCACCTTGCATCAACAAGGTGAGCATGTTAACAGAATCCACTATGATGCAACAAATATTGTGTACCTGCCCACCCAACATTAAAAAAAAAAAAAAAAAAAAAACCTTGACCCAACGCACAGGCTACTTTCCTAGTTTACTCTAATTCTCAAAAATTATGTGATCAATTTGTGATTATCCTTTAATAACTTATCTCAAATTTATTTTGAGATATTCACTAATCCTCTATCCTAATAAATAAGTATATTTTTGTCATGTGACAGTCTATTAGCCCCCGCCCCCACCCACTTCCCCCAATCGAATTTTCCCGCTCATTTTATGAAAGTGAATTACCGGATTTGCCCTTGCATTCTGTAAGTTGTTCACTTTCGGTAGAATCCTTGATTTTTGCAAGTTTGTTACTCTATTGGCTGCAAGATGTAAGAAAACGGAAAGTCAATAATGATCATTTATTTATAAAATGAAAATTGCCAAATGCTTATCAGTTCCTTATTTATCGTAACTTACCTAATCTTTGTTTTTAAATACATTCTCACGTATCTCATAATCAAAAAACTCATGGTTTGTTTCATTCACATTCCAGAGCAAGAACAGAATAAAGTAAAAAATATTGAAGTCGCCATTCATTCTTCTCTTAGGTATGATTTAACAATTTTTTCTGATGAGTTGAAGTAATCGACGTATTCATCTTCCTCTTTTTACTCTTGGCCTTTTAATCGATGCTATTATAGGTATTAACTGCATATTAATAAATAATAACTAAAGATTGTGATAGAAAAATCAACACAACTGAAGTAACTATACTTTAATTTTGGGCATTATGACAGGGACACAACTTAAGTAAATATACTCTAATTATGTTGATGACATTGTTTAGTATATTCAGTTCAATTTCAGATCGATTAAGTTCATACCTAACTAACGTCAAAGAATGATAGATATATTCTCTTTTTTTTACAAGAGTCAACAACATGCTTATCAAACTTCTTTTCAATACAAGGGCAGTCTGGTCATTATTTATTACACAATCATGGGGGGCTTAGAGGGGGGGCAAAGTGGGCAGCTGCACAGGGCCCAATTTTTTTCATTATATATTTTTATTTAAAAATACAAAATTATAATAAAGATAAGGGCCATTTTTTTCTTGTTCGTCCTGGGCCTTTAAGAATATTTCATTTTTCAGAACCGGCCCTCTACACAATAAATTTTTTTTCTTCAATGAATGAATATATAAACATGGATCAGAATTGTTAGCATATATATTTTTTGTTTTATTCTTAATAGCAATGTCCACGGTACTAATAAGATTGTCACATTGAACCTTTGTAGGAGCTGCATAAATTTGTGACAACAGGTACAAATATAGTTCATTATTAGCATCCTACTTTAAAAAAATGACTTTTTCAGTTTCTTAAGTTTTTAATTTCAGTTACAAATTTCCTACTTTAAATCAACATAATTGTTTTCATTTTTTTTAATTCTAACACAATATGTTTTATTTATCAGGGACCATATATCAATATTTATTTTAACTCTCAAATAATACAAAATATTAGTTTTTTTTATTTTTTTTACAAAATCAATAACATGGGCATAATGGTCATTTATGTTTGTGTTTATATGTATTGTTTGTGTATGTATATGTATCTGTTTGCACGTGTATATGTATCCGTTTTCATTTTTCCTTTTTTTTAATTCTAACACAATATAATAGTGTTAAATACACAGGGGCATAATGGTAATGTGAAAGTTACAAACAGTTGTAATATGCATGAATCAAAGTACATTGTTCTTTACTGTTCATGAATCAAAGTACATTGTTATTTACTGTATTAGTTTAATGCAACCTATTGTAACTAAATGGTATATGTGTAATTCCATAAATGCCCTTCTTCATAACATAGTTTTAGATCTTATATTGATCTATAGCATTGTACTACAACAAAAATCTTATATATTTATATAGGGACCATACAAGGATGTTTTATTTATCAGGGATCATATATCAATATTTTTTTACACTGAAATGATATAAAAATATTAGCTTTTTTTATTTTTGATTTTTACAAAACCACTGGCAGGGGCATAATGGTCATTTCTGTTTGTGTGTATATGTATCTGTTTGTGTGTATATGTTTCTGTTTGTGTGTGTATATGTATATGTTTGTGTGTATATGTTTCTGTTTGTGTGTGTATATGTATCACTTTGCCACGTGACATTCTCTTAGCCCCCCTGATCGAAATTTCCCGCTTCTTATACGAGAATGAGTGTTGTTGTTGACAAATAAACCAATTATTATGTCAATTAATTGAGGAAAAAAAGTAAACTCATTTGTAATGTGTAGATATTATCATTGTACTTTAAGTTAAAATAAAAAGATCAACAAAATATTAATGTGTATATGATATGCATGTGTGTTGTGTCTGATGTGTGTGTGATGGTAAGTTTATGTTCAGAAACTATACATGAGTCTATAAAAAAATGAAACACTAAATGTAGCAAGTAAATTCACATACATGATCAGTTTGATGCAAATTTATACTCTCCTGATGTATTAAATGGTCTTAAAGTATCCGATCTACCAATCATAAGTTAGTTTTAAAAATTGGTGTTCCAGTAATGTTACTGAGAAATATTGATTAGAAAAACGTCTTATGTAATGGCACAAGACTGCAGGTGATATCATTGGGCAAACGTGTTATTGAGGCACGTATAATATCTGGAAGTAATATTGGAAACCGAATTTTTATTCCAATAATGTCTCTAACTCCATCAGAAAAAATTCCTTTCAAATTCACAAGAAAACAGTTTCCTTTGGTCGTATGTTTTGCAGTGACTATTAATAAGAGTCAAGGACAACCGTTATCGAATGTTGGTTTGTTTCTCAAAGATCCAGTTTTTTTACCTGGCCAATTGTATGTTGTCTTATCTAGAGTTCAAAGGAAAGAGGGATTAAAAATATTAATTTTAGATAAAGACGGTAGACTAACAAATAAAACTTCCAATGTTGTTTATAAGGAGGTTTTTCGCAATTTCTAACCAACTTTTGTGTAGCATCTTTTACTCACTTTTAGTAAATAACACTTCATTTATCATATTAATTGATTTATTTATAATTATGTTTTGTATTTTATTTTATTATATAATAAAATTTTTAATTCTTTTTAATTTTATCACTCGTGGGTTCCACGGGTTTTAACCTAGTGTGATCATATTTGAAAGTTATTATGTGGATCAATTTGGGCCATATTCAATATTAATAGGTATGGAAACTCCAAAGCTGAGACTACGACGTCGAGGACATATGAAACTACACGGATGTATCGACAACTTGCATAAATTAACCTTTATATCTATAGAGCATAATCCATAACGACATCACTTTCAAATATTTTTCCGAATGCTTATTACCGAAATTGTTGAGTTTTGGCTAAATAATAAATAGTGTTTTCATCCCACATTGCTAGAAGGATGAAACCTTAAGTATAGAAAGTCTTTGTTAACACTTTGATAGAGTGTGAGTATTTTTTGGGAGGCTTGAGAGATTAGTCTATGTGATTGTAACATTTTATTATATATTGGATCGTTTTCTTTGGAGGCTCGTGGTTTTTCTCCGGTATTGGAGTTTCCACGTATATTCTTGTGTCCATTTATTTTTCTCTATTATTGTTATTGGAAGGTTGTTCGGAACCTAGAGAATGTTTTTCCAACAAGTGGTATCAGAGCTCCGGGTTTTGGAAGAGGTCTTAGTTTTATAGATTTGTATTATGCTCTGTGGTTGCAGCTTTGTCTGATCTTCCACAACCATAAACGAATCTCTTGGTCGTATTGGAAGGTGTATCGGTACACTTCGTCTTAAGCTCTGTGGTTACAGTCTGATCTTCCACATCAGAAACGAAGATTCAGTTTGAAGATACGGATACGATGTCAAAATACAGTCCCATAAGGTTCGATGTAGAGAAATGTGATGGGAGAATCAACGTTGGCTTGTGGCGAGTTCAATTCAAGGATTTGTCAATCTGGGTACAAGGCATTAAAGGGAAAACCAGTCCCTATTCCAAGTAAGGATTCAAGCAAAACCAGTAAAATCGATGATGAAGAACGGGAAGATTTGGATTTGAGGGTGGCAAGTTCAATTCATTTGTCTCTAGCAAAGAATGTTCTTGGAAATGTGCATGAGATATCAACAATAAAGGATCTTTGGGAGAAACTTGAGCAGTTGTATCAAGGAAAAGGCATCTCGAATTGGTTGTATCTCAAGGAGAAATTCCATACTCTTTGTATGAATGGAGATACAAAAATTTCAGATCATCTAAGTGTTCTTAATAACATCGTGTCATAAATGGAGGCTATTGGTATAAAGGTTGAAGATGAAGATAAAGCATTGAGGCTCATATTATCTTTGTAATCTTCTTATGAGCATATGAAGCCCATTCTGATGTATAGGAAATAGACTCTGAATTATGCAGATGTTACTGGAAAAATCCTGTCAGAGGAAAAAAGACTGGATAATAGCAGTCATGCTCAGTCAGAAGGAACAATTATGATATACATGAACGATAAGAAGAAGAAGTCACAGAGGTTCCGGTATGCTGGAAGTGTGGACAGTCTGGACATGTCAAGAGTAATTGTTTAGGTGGAGTAGATTTGGCAAAAGGTTCCAATACAGGTGTATCCCTCATTACTGATATTAATGACTTCATTTGAAGTCATGTCATCCCTATAGTATGCATGTGCTACCATGAAAAGGTATGTTATTTTTGTTAATGGGTTCATAAGTTACACATGGGCATTGGATTGGCATAAATACAGGATGTGTGGTGAAGAGGATGTTGATGGCTGATAAACTTCCGGGTATGCCAAGCGGGGAAGTCGCACCATAATTTTTCAGCAAGTTTTTCAACATGTGCTAAGGTGAAATTCTTAGAATGGTTTATTCTAAGTGGCGATACTTTTTTATGGTGGAGTATAACAATTCTATGGATTTAGAATTATGCTTTTCGGTTGAAAATAATGTTTCCTTTTATGTGGTTACGTTTTTTTATTCATTTATCCAAGGTGGAGATTGTTAAGTTTTGGCTAAATAATAAGTATTTTCATCCCACATTGCTAGAAGGATGAAAACTTGGGAGGTCTCCAATCTTATAAAAGAAGACCAAGGCTTTGGTTTCAAAGCACCTCAACCAAAATACACTTGAAGTGTTTAGTTCTTTATTTCTTCACTTATTTTAGAGTTTCTTCTCTTATCTTAGAATATAGAAAGTCTTTGTTAACACTTTAATAGAGTGTGAGTATTTTTGGGAGGCTTCAGAGATTAGTCTATGTGATTGTAACAATTTATCATATAGTGGACCGTTCTCTTTGGATACCCGTGATTTTTCTCCGGTTTTGGAGTTTCCACGTATATTCTTGTGTCCAATTATTTTTCTCTATTATTATTACTGGGAGGTTGTTGGGAACCTGGTGGCCGTTTTTCCCAACAGGAATATGTGGTCATCATCTTTTATTAAATAACAAAGATAAAGTTTTTTTATGGGAAGCATGGAAAACATACATACCGATTTTGAAGAAATTTATGAAAAGCTACATCATTATAGAGCAAATGAGTGAGACTATTTAAGATGTACATGGTTAGACTCGTAAGTATCATCAAAAGACTTTATAATGATCATAACCTATCGCTAAGTAAAAGTATCTCATACATTTTAGAAATTATAACCCTTACATTTTTTTTTGACACAAATTAACACCAATCATGCATCAAGAAATGTCATGATTAAACTAATTGCAAGGCAGAGATAAAACTAAGTAAAAGTGTCATGTAGTTTTAGAACCCTTACATTTTGTTTGATTCGAACCCAAATTAGGTGGTATTTCTCGGAAGATATGTTGTGGCTACAGACATGAACTGGCAAAGAGAATACACACATCGATCTTAGAACCCAGGCAACAAAAATAAATTTACTTAATCATTGGGAATGTGCACAAACCTCAAGTTGATTGTATTTTTTTTCTTATGGCTGCTCCAACCCATCCATCTAAATGCACAAATCTCAAGACACCAACACGCTCTCTCAAATCAGAGGGCATGTATCCAGATAGTGTTTTCAAACCCATATTCAGCACATTCATGGTAAAAGAACAATGAAGCACAATCATTTTAATTATTTACAACATAAAAATTTGAGTATGTTCAGTAATGAATCGTGAGAAGAAGGTAACTGAAGCAACAATCATGGAAGGCAAAATCTCAATGTACCTGTACGATTGTACCCTACTAGGCTTAATTCAGCCAGATATGAACTCAGGTAATCTAGGCACATTAATTGTTGAAGGAAACTCAAAAAAGAAAGAAATAGAGCTTTACTTGATCCCTTTCTTGAGAAATGATAGTATAAACAGGAAGAAAAGTTCTGCAAGTTGGAATTTTCAATCGATAGTTAAGAGTTTCAAGCAAGTCCTCTTCCATCTCCAGAATACGTGCTCTTGTTTAAGTGTGGTCAATCATGTATGCGAGATATTCAGTGTTTGGAGGGGGAATCTCTTCATGCTTTCTATATTATTAAGGAATGAAAATCCCAAGAAGAAAAACAACAAGTTCATGATTACAACCATCAATTTTAATCAATCTGACGCGGTGTCTTGTAGAAAACTAATCGCGCACAACTCAAATTGCAAACTAATCACTTAATTTCTAAAAATAAGGAGAGAATTATACTTAAGAAGAGCTTTATAGGTCAAAACAATTAAGGGGTAGCAAAATACAATAACAATTTTAAGTTTCTATATTTAGCACAAGAAAGCAACGACAAATCAATCAATGTAAAGAAAGAAAGTATTCGTTCGATCGTGAAAACAAAATCAAAAAACGAAACCGGAGACTTACGATGCTAGAAGAAGCGAAGAAACTCCAAGAAGTTGAAGTTGTCCCCGATAGAGATAGATTTGGGATAGGTACAAATCAAAATAAAGTGTTGTTTCTTTTTTCTAAGCGAAAATATCTAAAGTCTGAGGATCTGCAACCTTCTGCAGTAGAAGAGGTGGATCCAACGGCTGTAATAAGAAATTTGTTTGTTTTTTAACGTCTGCAGACTGCTGCAATAAACTGAAATTAACTATACAATAGTTAACAATAATTCTAAATCAAAAATTTATTGAGTTTAATCATATGAAAATCAAATATAAATATCATTGTGATGATATGATTTTTAAAGATGTTTATATAAAATAATTAAACATAATATTTGCTAAATAATAATAAATAAAAATATTAATTTAGCGAAAAATATGTTCATTTTTGTTAAATTTTCGAAGACGATGATTATTTTTCCGGTTAATTTCAATAAATATGGTAATTTTAGTGGTTAACTTTATAATTTATTAATATTTGGTTACAGACAATGTAACACAAAAAAAATATTTATATAAAGTTTACTAAACGTTTTTGAAATTATGTAAAATATATTCGAATTGTTTATAATATTGTTTATAATATTATTAAAATAATAAATATGTTGTTGAAAAAAATTAAACAAATATATGTTGAATAATATAAGTTAAAGTAAAATAAGAAGTGGTTCGAAAAGGTTGGTTTAGTGTTGCGTCATGCATCACACAAGCAATATTTTTTTTAAGTTAGAAGGCTTCTTGAAAACAAAAAGTAGTGAAAGACCAAGATGGTATTTGTTTTTTTGTTTGTAGATCTCTATGGTCACTTTTGTTTACGTCACGCAGACCACCCGCAGATATATGTCCTCACAGACCGGTTGTTTTTCGAAAGTGCAGAGACCTAAAAAGATTTGTGCTACATCTTCGTGGGAGAGACATGTACCAATGTCTTCTTCACAAGTCTTTTAAGCATAAAAAAAAAATAAATAAATAAATAAACGTTGATTCTTCTTAACACATTCACGTCTTCCCTCTTCACCCAAAAACCCTCTATCGATCATCAGAGAACCCTACATCGGAGACGACCTTTCCCTCTTCCGACGCCGGCTATAGCCTTCAACGTCGACGCTAGTGAAAGCCTGCACGTCATTGCCTGGTAAATCCTTCGACTCCTGTCCTCGTCTCCGACCACAGCTCGCCGACGCTGACATCGATATCCGCTCGCCATCGTCGGAGTTCTGCTCGTCGTCGTCGTCACTCACCACACAATCACCAACGTTGCCGAGCTCTGCTACCACTGGTATATCTTTTTCTGAAAATCATCTGAATCTATTTCCCTGAAAATCTATTTTCTCTTCTAGGGTTTATTGGTTAAGCTGAAATATGAAATCATATGTCTATATTTGCTGAAGTCCCTTCTGTAACTTGAAATTATATGTCTATATTTGCTGAAATCACTTCTGTAACCTAAAATAATATATCTATATTTTGTTAAAATCATATTTATTTGTTGAATTCTAAAAAAGTGTTGTTCATGTTTGCTGAAATCACTACAAGATTTTCCCCTAAAAACGAAAACATGTTTGCGCTTCTGTAATCTCCTCTAGCGAATCCCACATCCGGACAGCTTCGCCTCTTCACTGGTAAGTTTCTCTTCACATTCTGATTTTGTGTCGGTGAAATCGATTATCCTTGCTGAAAATATGGGTTTCATTTGTGAACTACTAATTATATTGCCTTTAAATTGTGGTATTCTGATTTTGTATTGCTGGCCCTTAAAATTGTAGTCATTAACATATACAATTAGGGATTCTTTTTTGTTGATGAGTTCTAAAGATGGCTAAACTGTTGTTAATGATGGTAGTATGGTGGATGCATGGTGGCAACAAATGAAGAACATATTCAATCTTGTTGTTTAAAAAATCTGTATGGTTGGGATCCAATTGATTTTGTTTCCACACACATCAACGAAATTGAAGATATTGGAAATTGGTTCTAGTTTATGTAAATGCTAGTTTGTATAAATGGGATGTAATTTTTACTGATTTGATTCTATATGCTTGAAAAGGCTATGTTGCAATTGGTTATAGTTTATGTAAATATTGAGATTGTGAAATGGCAGATTATCATCTCTTTGAAATGGAACAAATGAATGCTAGTAATTATAATGCTTTGTGTAGCTTGTAGAATTCTTGTGGTTTTGATGCTAATTTTCTCATTGCAGGTTTGGGTCTTATGTGATTGTCCCTCTTGTTCTTCATAAAAAAATATTGTAGTACTCTTCAACTGGTTCCGTTTTTTGTTGTACTATTCATTTGATAAAAATATTCACCATAATTGATGTTATTCTTTCTATACTTGTGTATGTGGATCGAATTAAAAAGTTTCTGTTAGATGAATAGTTTTATTATGCATACAACCCAAAAATAGCAATAATGTTTTAATAAGTAATTTTTTTAGTGGTACAATGTTGTCGGTTGTATTAATTTAATTTAGGGATAATGATTTGATAGGGTAAGATACTTTTTGAAATGTACACATTTAGTCTTTTTTTTTTGTAAAATAAACCCTTATACTTTATTAATATGTACACATTAGGTCCTTTTCACCGGATTCTACAAGTTTTGCTGACGTGGAAGGGTTTATTTTACAAAAAAAAAAGAATAAGGACTAAATGTGTACATTTCAAAAAGTATCTTACCCTATCAAGTTATTTTCCCTTTCTTTTATTTTGTTGAAATGAAATACCCAGGTGGCATCCACATATCCAAAACGAGATTTTTCCAACTTTTATTCATCATGAAAAAGAGGGAGAACCCCGATCTCCGGCGACTCCTTTGTGTGTTCCTACACATCACTGGTAGCAAGGAGGAATGATGGCAAAAACAACAAGGTCGAAGGGGGAGGCAGGAGGAAGTAGAGACGGTAGTTGGCGGCGAGGAGCTGCTCTGGTAGCCCCCTCGTCGATTCTTTCTTCTTTTTGTGGCAACATATCTCAAAGATGGAGGCAAAGAGAGACAGATCGGAGAAACACAACAGGTAAATGGTGTTTTGCTGTTGCTGTTCGACCGGAAGGAAGAGAGACGAGAAAGAGAAGGGTCGCCGCCCTTTTCTTGTTGCTGGAGGATCACCCACCTCCGGTGACTAAGCTAATTAATTGCTATTTAGTGTCACTTGTGTTTCCATATCAGCAAAACCTGTAGAATCCGGTGAAAATGACCTAATGTGTACATATTAATAAAGTATAAGGGTTTATTTTACAAAAAAAAAAATAAGGACTAAATGTGTACAATTCAAAAAGTATCTTACCCTATCAAGTCATTTTCCCTAAAAGAAAATTTGTATATGACCGGTATACCGGGTATAGCCGGTCACAAGGATTGCATTGTTACAAAAAATAAAGTATAAGGGTTTATTTTACAAAAAAAAAAGAATAAAGACTAAATGTGTACATTTCAAAAAGTATCTTACCTTATCAAGTCATTATCCCTTTAATTTAAGTATTGTAAAACTATAATTAATGAAACGGACTTTTATGTTTTCTAAAAATTAATTTTTTATATAGTCCGCAGACGTTAAAATCAGTCTTCTTTTTACAGACTGCAGATGTTTGGTCCACCTCTTCTACTACAGATGTCTGCAGATATGGTGCGCATACTGCAGACATTTTGCCTCTAAAAAAACAAACAACATCCAAGTGTTGCACGATTGCTGCATGACGCAGCAAGAAATGGTCAGAATTGGTTTTTCTGAAAAAAACAAACAACCTCATGCTGCGAGAGCTAATGTCTATGGAACAAGCTTAGAATGAATTGCTACTTCGGCTAGCCAATCAATAATAATAGCCCTCATGTTCACAGTAGGTAGGCTTTCAGGACTCGACATATAATCAACCGCCGGTCTTTCTCTACATCCCTCTTAATTCGAAATAAGAACCATAAATATCTGTTGGAATCCCAAATAAACCCTAGTAAGGAACCATCGTAATTCAAAAAGAATTGTTTATTGTAACAACCCAATTTTCAAGACCAAAAATTTGTTTTTGATTAAGCAATTTATAAAACAGTTTACTGAAAACATCATCAATATCATATCAAACCCATAAACCCATAAATCAAATGTCATAAAACATGTCATGGAATAATAATGTCAGAGTACAATCCCAAGAACATCATGGTGCGGAAAATAATGGTGTGATGCACTACTACCGAGTCGGCTCCTTTCCCTTCGAAGAGGAAGTACCTGAAACCAAAACTGAAAACCGTAAGCACAAAGCTTAGTGAGTTCCCACATCATACCACATACCATACATAACACATACATAACCGGGTACCAACTACCCCTTCGGTCTCCTTCAACCGGTAACTTGCCTAGCATATCAGGGTGTTGGCCTACCCCTTCGGTCCTGTCGGCCGGTACCTAGCCTAGCATATCAGGGTGTTGGCCTACCAATTCGATCCTGTCGGCCGGTACCTAGCCTGGCATATCAGGGTGCTGGCCTACCCATTTGGTCCTGTCGACCGGTACCTGGGGACTATTTCACCCCTACTTCTACCACATAGCATCCTAGTGCATAAACATATAAATCATATACTGCCTAGCTTACATGGGTGCTGGTATACCCCTTCGGCCCTATCGACCGGTACTGGGGTCCATTCTACCCCTCCTACAGTTATCACATACCATCATAGCATACTAGCACATAAAGCATAACATACCAGATAATTATCACAAAGACAATCATCTAACAACCAACTCCTACTAGTGGGTCGACATTGTGGCCTTAGACCCACTTCTACTGGAAGGTAACTCACCTCAATGTCGTGCAGTAACTGAGCTGTCCTCGGTGCTGGGATCAACTCTCTCAAACTCCTACACATAACAACCTTCCTTAATTACCATTTCATACTCGTAACCCTTTCAAGGGTCAACTTAGGTCAAAGTCAAAGTCAAGGTCAACCCCCGAGTCAAAGTCAACTTTTGGGTCGAAGTCAACATCTGGTTGACTCAACTCGTCGAGTTGGTCCACCAAGTCGTCGAGTTCCCTTCTACATAGTCGGGACTTTTACTCCTAACTCGCCGAGTTCTCCTTCATACAGAGTCGAGACCTTTTGCTCACGACTCGCCGAGTTCATCCTTGAACTCGACGAGTCCTGCTTCATATCAGTTGGGACATTTGTATTGAACTCGTCGAGTTCATCCTGGAACTCGTCGAGTTCTTTGATCTTCAAGTCCATCTATGAACGACTCGCCGAGTCCCCCAAAGCTCAAGTCCATACAGTCGATTTCAGTCGGGCTTATTGCATCCAAAGCATAGATCTGGCCTCCTAGGGTCGATATAACACGTAAAGTTACAAACTTTACGTGCATGCATGGGTGTTATGAAGCTAAAACACCAAAACTAAGCCACAAAGGAGTTCTAATGCATGGGATAGGGCCATAGCTTAATAAAGGTGGCAACTTTACGCTTCCTGAGCTCAAAAGTTCCCAGATCTGAAGTCATTACTCTATTATGCACTCAAAGCTCCAGAGTAACTTAGAAATGGCCCAAAATGACAATATGCAAGCCCTAAAGAAGATCTAAGTAATGGAAAGCCAAGTTATAAGCTTTATACCTCAACTAAGCTGGAAATGCAACCCAAGCTCTGGATCTACTACCCTCCTTTTGAATCTCCAAGCCTTTCCTTCCTTCTCCAAGCTTCAAATCACTAAAATAGCACAAAATAGCTCAAGAACACTCACAAGCTGATTAGGGTTTCGAGAATAGGGTCTGAGGGTGATGGAGGCTAGAGTGGAGGCCATATAAGGTGTTTAAATATGGTACAAACCCTAAAATTTAGGGTTTCATTCAGACAGATCTACTCATCGAGTCGGGGCTTCCGACTTGTCGAGTAGACTCTTCCACCCGCGTCCAAGATTCGCCCCTACTCGACGAGTTTGGGGCCTCAACTCATCGAGTCCCAGTATAAAAATGCAAAACTGATATTTAAAATATTTACTGGGAACCGGGCGTTACACTTACTGCCATGGAATGATAAGTTTGAATCGATTTGTGGCATACTCACCAAATCTCACATCAAGGTCTAGTTGCTCCTCCCTTCTTGGCTTCTTCGGCGGTTGTGAATCAGATTCAACATTCTCCACACGTAGTGCATTCTCCTAGTCAGCGATTGAAATGCTAACTAAAGTTTATTGACAAGAATGCAGGAGATGGTGTGGTGATATGGAGAATTATAACTTTCGAGGTTGGTTATCAATGGTTATGAGTACTAAAGTTGATTGACAAGAATGCAGGAGATGACGTGGTGATATGGAGAATTATAACTTTTGAGGTTGATTATCAATGGTTGTGAGTACGTGGTGAGGGAGATATGATATATGTAGAAGAAAACACTCTACTCATGAATAATTGTGCGAACGATATGTTGGTTCTATAATTGGCTTGAAGGACGTCTCTTGGTATCCAAGTTATCTTTCTTCAATTCTAATAATAAACAACCGACTTATTAAATTAGGGGCTTTCCTTAAAAAACACACACACACAGACGCAAATCATCTTTCATTTCATGTTTTTCTATTTTTCTGTTTTTTCTTTTCAGATTATTTTTTGTATTATTTGGTTTATAATTATTAATTTTTTTGATTTTTATTAGATAAATAATTTTTCTGATTTTAGTTTTGTTTTTATGTCCAATTTTTTTCAGATTGTTTTTAATATTTTTTTCTAAGTTTTTTGAATTCTATTTTTTCCGATTAAATCAATTATTTTTTTCATTTTTTAAATACTTTTACAACTTTTTCTTTGGTTGGGAAAAATTTTCAATTTTTATAATAAAATTAAATTTTATATAGAATAATCCGAATTTTTTTTATTCAGCAGCTGGGGAGGTGGGGAATCCTAAGAGAACCTAGGAGGTATTTTAGTGCGGGTGTTTCGCTGTTGAGCAGGTATCGGGTGGATATTTTTGAGTAGGTCTTGGAGGACCTGAGATGATTTTTGAGGAAAGTATGGATAAGTGTGGAAGGTATTGTTAGGCCCATACTACTGGAAACACAGGATCTATACTCGAATTGAGGAGAGTTTCGGGGATTCTAAGGGCTGGTCGGCAGAGATTAGGATGGTTTGATACCATTATTTGCAGCAGTAGCTCCGTATCCGTTGACCTTTGGTTATGGTTGCTCAGACATAGGGATGGGTCTGGTAATTGTTCGGCCCTAGTGGCGAAATTGGTTTGGATTGATTGGTGCAGACCTTGATGAGCTTGTTGGTTTTGAGGTCTCGAGGGTTTTGCTCAAGTCGTGCATTCGAGTCGTGGGACTCAAGTATAGATTGACCGTTATGGTCGGTTTGGGGATTGTAGTTGGAAGTAGAATGGTTGATTGATGGTTTGGTATGTCGCTATCAGTGTCAACAATTTTGCTCTTTCAGTCTTTCGGGTTCGGAGGAGGAGTGATCCGGCTTGTGAATTTCAGTGTTGGCATGTAAAACCAACATGGGGGTTGTTGGTCGCGGTGTTTGGAGACAGAATGTCAACGTGGTAGTGTACATGTGGATTGGTGTGGTATGAATGTTGGTGATGTGACCAAGGGTCCATGTTCTTGGGTTATAGGCAGGCCAGGTATCGGATTGGCGGTTGGAATAGCAGGCAAGGAGTGTATGTTTTGGATCATAAGTCGGTATTGGTTTATGCTCTTGTAAGGGATCCTTAATGTTAAGTGATCATGATTGGGAAATTTTGGAGATCTTCAGCTGAAATTCAGGATTCTCTTGGGATTTTTTTGATCCTTATCTGGAAGATCATCCTATATGTATTATTTATTCCCGGGGTCAGGGATGGTTGTACCTGGTTAAGCCGGTTTGAGTTATAGTTTGGTTTTAACACCAGTGGGTGGTAGTTCGAACCCTAAGTGGGGGAGAATTGGGCATTCTGCTTGAAGGATCATCGATCTGTTCGGGTTCGTAGTATTAAAGAATGGTTTTTAAAGATCTGCGGTGAGAGTATGTGGGATCTCGGTTCAAGGTTTGGTTAAGGAAAGGGTATATAGTAAGTAGTGATTGTATGCATGTGTACAGGAGACACATGGGTTGTCTCTCATCAGGAAGTGTGTGATTAAGGAGCTCGTTGCGGATATTGATTCCTTTTTAGGGGTGCCAACGAATAGATAAGTAACCGCTGGGATTACTTAGGTCGAGTTTCAGAGGCGGTGGAAATTGTCAGTTGGGTGTA